CTGAGGGGCACAGGACACTGAGGGGAATAGAACGCTGAGCGACACAGAACGCTGAGGGGTCACAGGACGCTGAGGGCCACAGCACCCTGAGGGGCACAGGACACTGAGGGGTCACAGAACGCTGAGGGGTCACAGATCGCTGAGTGGTCACAGACCGCTAAGAGACCACAGACTGCTGAAGGGTCACAGAGCGCTGGGGAGGGTCACGGACCGCTGAGGGGGTCACAGACCTCTGAAAGGTACCCGCGGCCCCAGGATGGGGCAACCCCCGACCCGCCCCGGCCCCACCCCGCCATGCCGGGAACCACGCCCCGCGCCTGGCCCCGCCCCCGAGCGAGCTGAGTGGAGGAGCGCCTGACTGCTCTGCGTCACAGCCAATCAGAGCGCGGCACCGCGAGGCCGCCAACCAATAGGGAGAGAGAGGAGAGGGCGGCCGGGCGGAAGCGGCTGCGGCGGCGCTGAGGGAGCGCGGCGGGCGGAGCGGGCAGGTGAGGCGGGAGGGCTGGTGCGGCCTCCGCGGGGTCCGAGCGGCCTCCGCGGGGTCCATGCGGCCTCCGAGGGGTCCGTGAGGTCTCCGCGGGGTCCGAGCGGCCTCCGAGGGGCCCGTGCCCTCCGCCGGGCCGTGGCTCCGGCTCTTGTTTCTTCAGCACTGACTTGGCGAGCCCCGCCGCGGGGTTTGGGCCTCCCCAAACTCCCTCCTCCGCAGGGCAGGGCGGCGGGTGTGGGCCCTGCCTGGTTTCTCTCGTGGGCGCGGGTGAAGAGGGGAGGCCGCACGAGGAGCGGCTGAGGTCACTTGGTCTGGCCAGCCTGGAGAAGGGCAGACTGAGGGGGGATCTCACCGCGGGCTGCAGGTTCCCCCCGAGGGGCAGCGCCTATCTTTGCCCTCTGAGGCCAGTGACAGGGCCCGAGGGAGCGGCTGGAGATGTGCCGGGAGAGGGTTACGTGGATATTAGGAAAAGGTTTTTCCTCCAGAAGGTAGTTGGGCACCGAACAGGTTGCCCAGGCTCTCCTTGGTCACAGCCCCAGGCCTAAAATACTTCAAGAAGCCTTTGGGATATGCTGTCAGCCATGGGGGAGATTTTTGGGGTGTCCTGTGCAGGGCTTTTGCAGATCCTTGTGTATCCCTTCCAGCTTGGGATATTCCGTGATTCTGGGGGATTTGCCCACCAGGACCCATCTAGGGAAGGGGGTCACCCTTCTCCCTTTGGCTGCCTAGTTTACAGGCTGCTCTTTCATATTTAGAGAAATGAGTGTTTTGTGTGCTTCTAGTACTTGGTATAAGTAAATCTTAGTGAAAAGATAACGTGGATTTGCCAGGAGTTTCCTGTATTCTGCAGATGGATTTGTCTCTTCTTGCTCATTTTCTTACTGCCATCTCCCATATTTTGTCTTTTCTTACATTTATGTTATAAACTTGTGACACAAATTGTTAACATTTGTTTCTTGGGTCATTCCCTAGAAATTTCATCTGGCAAAAATGGGTGAACCTCAGCAAGTGAGTGCCCTTCCTCCGCCTCCAATGCAATATATCAAAGAATACACTGATGAAAACATCCGTAAAGGCCTGGCTCCAAAGCCACCTCCTCCTGTGAAGGACAGCTACATGATGTTTGGCAACCAGTTCCAGTGTGATGATCTGATCATCCGGCCCCTGGAGAGCCAGGGGATCGAACGGCTGCATCCTATGCAGTTTGATCACAAGAAGGAGTTAAGGAAACTTAACATGTCTATCCTGGTCAACTTCCTGGACCTCTTGGACATCTTGATAAGGAGTCCAGGGAGTATAAAGCGAGAGGAGAAACTGGAAGACTTGAAACTGCTTTTTGTCCACGTGCATCACCTTATAAATGAGTACCGGCCTCACCAGGCCAGGGAGACGCTGAGGGTCATGATGGAGGTGCAGAAACGGCAGCGCCTGGAGACGGCCGAGCGCTTCCAGAAGCACCTGGAGCGAGTGGTGGAGATGATCCAGAACTGCCTGGCTTCCCTGCCCGATGATCTGCCTCACACAGAGGGGGGACTGAGAGTCAGCGTGGAGCCCATGGACACTGATGATGGCAGCAGCTGCGCTGGACAGAGCGAAAAGCAGAGGGAGCGTTCTGGTGGCAAGAGAGATCAGGTTTTGGACAAAGATGCAGCAATGTGCAGCATTATTGATGAGATGACATGAAGCAAACAGCTGGTTTTGTTAATGCACCACAGTGAGAGACAGAAGGGGTTCTGAGGATGCATTTTGTATTTTGTTTTGCTGTTGTACAAGCAGAAAGAGCAATTGTTGTGCACCTGTTGGAGGTTGTGGGTGACTGGGCAGATGAAAATGTTTAAAGTTTTGTGGTTTTTTGGTAAAAAATAAAAAGTCTCATTTTTGTTAAATGTATTATGTGAGGTCGTAGGCACTGATTAAAGTTGGCTTTTCCTGTTGTACTTTCATTGTTTTGGGTATGCCATTCTATAATTCTTTATGCTGAGTCAAGAAGAAATTCCTACAGAAATGGTGTTTGTTTTTTGCACAAACAACACACAGGAACTTGGAAAACAGGCAGGACAGAAACTCTGATTACATGAAGGCAATCCTTATGGTCTGTGTTTTGAGGTGAAATCTAAAGCAAGTGGGTTAACTGGTGTCCTGTAGCTCTCACATCCTTTTATTGTGTGACCCGAATGGCTTTCCTGGGATCCTGGCAGAGACAGCCTGCCCTGCCTTTCCCATTTTTGCAGAGCAGTTTCAGGATCCTCCTGGTAATTATCAGAATTGTTCCTCTAGCAGCTGTCTGCAGTTTCCTCAGAAACCAGAGGAGCTGAGAGGAATCCTTTTCTTAAGGAGTTCTACTTCCAGCTGCTGCATGCAAAAATCACCTTCATCCGTCTATCACTTCTTTCCTACAAGTGTATTGCTAGTTTGTCTCTCAGACATTAATCCCTTGGTTTTCCTGATTTTCCCTTAAAGCTGCTGTCAGTTTGGTGCCTCTCTTCTCCTATAAGGCAGTCATGCAAGGCAAGGTTCCAATTCTAACATCTTCCACTTGCTCATAAATAGCTCCTTAGTACTTCATTTCACTGTGAAGTAGTTTAGCTGCTTCAGCAAAGAGCATTTCTTGGCCCTTGATCACAGGTGCAGTTCTAGCCCAAACAGTATAAAAAGACATCCTTGAGGATAGTGTCACAGGGAGAATGGCCAGGAAACAGCATTTCTCAAAAGCTGTATTTCAGTATTTTGTCAAAGTGAGCCTTGAGTCGGCTTCCACACTACTTTTTCAAGTCTCCTCTCTATTCTGGATGTTTATGCAGATGCATGTGGCATTTTTAAATATTAAAGACTGGCACTGTTGGGCTCAACTGTGTAACTGTTTTCCAAAACCAACAAATTATTGCTGCCAAAGAAAATTTGCCAGAAGATGCTCTGAGTTGCTTCTAAGTATTAGAACCAGAAACTTGTGATGAAAAGCTTGAGTAGTTCATCCTACAAATCTGTTACTTGGCCAAGCCCTTTCCACTTACCACAGCAAGTATGTATTATGTAACCTTTTATCCAAACGCTGTCTGCTGTGGCCAAAGCAGGTGTGGGAAGCAGTCTGGGGCAGCGGATTGCTGGCAGTCATGTCAGCTCAGTGCTGCTGTCAAGTTTCACTTACAGTCATCAAACAGATCTGGAAAAAAACGAGAAGCAGAGTTGTGTGGTGCTGTGAAGTGTTGTCACCTCTCAGTCAAAGCCCCGCCAGCAGGAGCTCAGTGCACTTGTACCCTGCCCCAGCAGCTGTGCTGCAGCACACTGCACAGCAGCCCAACCTCGGGCAAAACAGCCCAGGCTGCACTGAGAGGCACCCGCAGCTCTGGCTGGAGATGATGTGCTGAGGAGGAAACACGGAAGCTCACAAAGAAGATCATTTTTCTTGAATGAGAAGGGCGAACAGGAGTGTTTGTCACCTTCAGCCGCAATGTTGTCTTCCATCTGCCTGAACTGGGTTCTCCTGGTGCTGCTCACAGGTAACCACGGGGGCGGAAGCAACTGGATGGAGGTGGGTTGAGGTGACATGCATCAGGGATTCTGAGGGTGGCAAAGAGAAATTTTATCTTGCAGCAGGAAGAGTGGCCACATCACAGAGGCTGCAGTTCTCTGTGTTAAAATAGAACTTCACAGAGTTCTAATGGCCTGACCTCCTCTGGGAAACAGAAACATGCTGAGGATATGGTGGCTTTAAAGATGCTGCTTCTTGGGCTGACTGCGCATCTTAGTGGGATTTTTTAGACAATGATGATTTGAGCAGAGAACTTAAAATTGTTTTAGAGAAGCTGAAAAACAAGTTGGCGAGCCTCATGATGATGAATGCTTAGGTAGACAGGGAAAAGATCAACTGTGGCTTCTGGTGGTTTTTAGCCTATTAAATATTATTGGGACAAATTGGTAATTTTTTCTTTCTTTTTTTTTTTTTTAATTCCTGAGGGAGCAGTCCTAGGTTGTTAAGGGCAACAGCAATGAAAACAACAGGTTGTAAAGTGGTAATAATAAAGACAGACAGACATTGAAAACTTGGTGGTGAGATGAATTCAGTAGAAAGAAAATATTACAGATATTTTTTGTCGTTCTTTATAAAGCCTTTTATTATGAGTTTCATTTTGAGCTTCCTTTCCATATTAAAGAAAGTAAGTTGTTTCAGAGACTTATTCCCAGTGTATTTTTTCTCTGTCATGAATGGTCTGCTGGGTGTTAGGGCTCACTGTCTTGACCTGAGTAGTGTGACACAACCTCCTGGAAACGTGACAAATTTATGGGGAAGCAAACTAAGTAGAAACTGCGTAAGACTTAGAAGAGAGAATAAGGTAGTGGAAAAAAAAAAAAAAAGAGAGAGAGTATATATAATATTTCTCAGAAAAGCCCTGAAAAATTTCTTCTGATAAGAATGGGCAAAACCTGCCTTAAGGCAAGAGAAAATGAAATTCATACAGCAGTGATCATTCAGATGAAACCTGAAGTTTATTTCATTGAAAGGGGGGAAGGGTTTCCCACAATGGTTTTGAGAAAAGTCAATGTCTTACAGCTCCCTTGTGTGTGTAGCTTGGGTTAAATGCATACAAAGGAAAAAATTAAGAGCCAAGAGACTGCATCTGGCTCAAGAGAAGCCACAGAGTCTCTTCACCTCATTGCCTATGTGCAGAGGCTGCAGAAAATGTTATTTCTGTGAACATGTCCCTGGCCTGATCATTATCCCTCACTGCACCAGTCTTGCCAGGACACATCTATTTGTGCAAAATCCAGCAAAGCCTGGTGTTCTTTGAGAGACGGGAGGTTTCAGACATGCAAGATTCACAAGAAGCTTCCCTGTTCCTTGCCCTGTGCTCCATAACTGTTTGTCTTTTTGTCCCCAGGCTCCACAGTATCCGAATTAATTGTGATAGGAGAGGTTGGTCAGAACATCACTGTGCCCTGCCACTACACTGTCTGGAACACAAATAGCATCACATCCATGTGCTGGGGTCGGGACAGGTGCCCCAATTCAAAGTGTTCCCAGCCCATTATCTGGACAGATGGCTGGAGGGTGACAGAGCAGCACAGCAGCAGGTACCAGCTGAGAGGGGACCTGCAGAAGGGGGACGTGTCCCTGACCATCGTGGACGCCAGGGAAGCAGACTCTGGCACCTACTGCTGCCGTGTGGAGATCCCGGGGCTGTTCAATGATCAACTGATTAATCATAAGGTTACGGTGAAGAAAGGTGAGTGCAGAGGAGCTCTTGTGATGGATCTGCTCCTAGGTCTGGGCTTCAAAGCTTGTGGTTGAAATGATTTCTGCAATCTTGACTGATCTTGAGGACCTTGCACATCTGCTGTTAGTGCTACCTCAGTTAGGCTGCCTTTGGCAATGTTGTTATCCCACTGCAGTCACTGCAGTTAAAAAAGGACATGATGCTTTCATGGAGCATTCTTAGAGACACCAAAGAATTTAAAAAGAAGGGCAGCATAAAGTATTCATCCAAAGCTTTATTGCTGCACCTTTGTCATTGAAAGCTGTGTTTGATTTTCCCTGCTTGATTCTAGATTAAATCCCAGGGATTTAATTGGTATAGAGAAGCTTTTTATCAATTCTTCCTTTGATTTTTAGTTTTTCCCTTGCTTGTGATATTTGTGATATTTGGCTGACAAATGTGCTTTGCTAGCAAATTTTTATTATGGAAACACTGTCTTTTTCTCAAAACACAAATGCCCAATAAGGTTAATTATGTGTTGATTTTGTTTTATATGTTAACATCAGCAAGGATCTCTACTGCAAGTCCTCACACTTACACCTCTGAACAGACCTCAGGTAATTTTTATCCAAGTATTAATAGCATGTACAAGCCATATTGCATATGGGGAATCTTAGGAAGAAAAAAAATTATGACAGATGGTAGAAATATTTGGCTTAAATTTATTAAACATTACCAAAGATCAGAACTTGGATTTAAATTCTGATTGATATTATACTGAGGGAACATGTATATTTGGGAGGAAGCTGCTTCCAGGTGTGATGCTTAAATAGATGTTTTAGTGGTGCTGCAAGGTTTGCTTTTATTTGACTATTGTTTTGGTTTGTAGGGGGTTTTTGTGGTATAAAATCTCACCTCATCTTCTAGAAATGCATCCCATGAATGGTAAAACACAACTTTTCGGATTTGGGTGTACCTACTATTTAATCAGAACTGTTTTATTGGACTAGCTCAAAAGAACATCAGACTGAGAGTCCTGCTTCCTGTAGCAGTCAGCAGCAGATGATTAAGGAGGATGATAGAAAAATGACATTATTTTTGTGACACAGTGCCAAATTATTGTTCCACCCTGGTGTAAGGTGTGTCCCCGAGGCTGCCCACACCCTCTGTGCACATTTAATAATGTGAGGCTCCTCATTGCAGGGGAAGAGACAGTGGTCAGCTATTCCTCACTTGTTTTCTACATTCCCTTCACAAAAGGATAAACTTCTATCATGAACCTGCTCAGCTGCATCTTTCCAGTCTGAAAAGGACAACTTTAATTTCCACTACACAAGAGAAACCTTGTGATGTAGCAATGGTTTATTCTCTGGAGTCTGAAAAAAAAAAATAGATAAATCAGGGATGCCATTTGTATTTCTCCCTCTATCTTGGATGTTTTCAGCTAAGCAACTCCAAATTAGTGTTACAACAGTTGCATTTCCTTTTTGGAAGAAGAAGTGAAAACTTTCTCAAACAGTTTCTATTCTAGTTGCAAATAACATTTATTCCAATCTTAGAAGTCAGGGATTTTCTTATCCCTGTGACCTCTTCCTTAGCTGATGGTGTAACAGTGTTTGAAGTTTTCAGAATACAAAGTAGTGTGTGCATGTTCACACTGAGAGAGATGGGAAAAGGCAGGTGTCCATGTGCCTCTGATTTAGAAATACTCTAGAATCTCCAGTGGAAGCTGATTATCCTGTCCTCTTCAAAATAAAGCTTCTGGGATAAGGGTAACAATTTAAAACATAAAAGCAACCAGCTGGGGTTGGCACAGAGGGAACAGGACATTTTAGTTCAGGAGATTTTTATGTCATCTGACAACACATGGAGAAACTGAGACTGATGATAGATAAGACAGAAATTTGTAGGTCTTAATTTTAAATGTTGCTAACAGCTGTGCTCTGGGAAATTACCTCAAAATGTGCTGCAGGTCCTTATGCAAATATATTGTATTTTGTTCAGTCTGTTTACTGTATAGCTGCCTGGGGCTTTAAACGTATCACCTGCTTTCTGTGACTCTGCATCATGTGCTGCTTCAAGGCCCTGAGATAATCTTCATCAGTTTTCAGCTGATAACCTAAGTTTGCTTTATGCATCATTTTTTGCTTCAAGGCCAGGTTGGATGGGGCATTGAGAAACCTGTCCATAGCAGGGGATGATAAGGGCTTTAAATCCCTTTTAACCCAATCTGTTTTATGATCCTATGGCCACTGTTTCTTGGCTCCAGGTCTGACTGGTAACTCCTTCCCAGTGCTGAGATAACAGTGAGAGCCAAGTACTCCTAAGAAGGAGTTCAAAGCTCTGAAAAGGACAGCAGAAACTTCAATATTCAGAGTTTTGTGCTGCCCTCTGAAGGCACCAACCTCTTATGATATGCAGAGCCCAGACTGCTGACACACAGAGAAGTTCAGGGTCCCAAGTCAGCAGTACAAATTCTTCTCTGTTGAGACAGAACAGTTCTCTGTGCAAGTGATGTGTTTGTCTTGCCTTTGCTCAGCTCCTGGCAGCACCAGTGAATCCTCTGTCACTGTCACAAGGACCTGGCCATTGGTTTCTGCCTCAGAAGCTCCTCAGACTGTAAGCATCAGCCTTGCTGTAGCACACCTAGACAGAGTGGATGGACTTGAGAGGTTACTGGGTCATCCCTACATGTCGCTTCCACTGCTTTTGTTTGATTGCAGCAGAATATTGTTTTGTAGTCTGCATGTTTAGTGGTTATAAAGAGTGCTTATGTGCTCATTATTAGAGAGGAGGAAAAAAACCCCTGCTTAGCATGCATAAAATACTTCCTTCAATGAGGAGGAAGAGCTTTAGCAACATCTGTATGTCCTTTCAGGCCTCTGCTCCCTGCTCAGGCCCCTCAGGCTGCTTGGATGTGGCTGCCAACCTGCAGGTATGACAGGACATGGGCAAAAGTGCAGTTGGGGCCACCTGAGAGCACAGGGGTGCCCTGTACTCCTGTGCAGTGGGGCTCAGACAGGCAGCTCTGTGTGTCCTGCTGAGTCCTGCAGCACAGGTGGGAGGGTGTGACATCAGGAGACACCTTACTCATTAAAAAAATTCACCAAATGTTATTAAACCTGAATAAATGGGATTTCTCATAACTTCAGGTCTTCTGAAAATCTCGAAGACTGTCTAACAGCACGGTTCACACAAATGTTGCAGAGATTCTGTTTGAAACTGGTTCTGTTGCTCAAATTAGGCTTTTGGTCTAAGGTGTGCTTTTCCTGCAGAATTGCAAAACACACAGAAGGCCTTTGGGTATTGCATGGGCTTGTTGCTGTCAGTTCCTCTAATGCTCCTTGGCTTGTGTTTGACAGAACTCATCTGTATCACTTGCCAGTCAGCAGGACCCTGAACGTGGGCTGTACATTGGGATTGGCTCGTGTGCAGCTCTTCTGCTCATCCTGATTTTGGCCCTGCTCCTCACTAAACGTGAGTACTCATAAGCACTTACTCAAGGATTGTTCAGGTCTGTCCAGCCACAGCTGTGGCTGATGCCACATCTCCCACTTCAGGGCAGGGAGCTGAGGTCCCTGGAGGGCCCCAGTGCTGTGGCTGCTCACAATGGGAAATTCCTATCCTGAAAACATTTTTGAAGGTTCCTTATTTAGTTTCTTACACCTGAATTTTTCTTTGAACCTACTATTTTACTTGCTTCTAATGGTTTAAACAAAATTAAATTTTTCTTTCTTTCTTTCTTTTCATTCTGAATGCTCCTTAGAATATTTTTACAACACAAAGAAGATGGGTAATTCTGCAGGGTAAGTTTTCTGTTCCTGCTTTTGCTAATAGGATAAATGAAGTTGCAGAAAAAAAAGTCAGTGTCCTGACCACTATGGCTTTATTTTTTAACCTCAAGTTAATAGAAAATATTATAAAAATAAACTAATAACTGCTTTTTGTTACTTATTAAGCAAAAATAAGTGTCACGGTCAGTTCACAACATTAGGCAGCTTGCTAACGTCAGTTGTCAATTGTCTCAGAAGTGGAAAGATGATTCACTATCAGTCATGATCACATGTTTAAATGTATTTTACATTTTCTAGTGAGCTGGTTGATCTGTTCCTCTGTGGTTTTATTGTCTGTTTTTGGTTTAACACCATGTTTTTTTACTCTTTTGTGCAGCTTTGTTGCATTTTGGAGGCCACAAGGTGTGGGGAGCCATAGTGCCCTGGAAGAAGAGACTCATGCAGAGGAAAATATTTATATCATACACTAAGGACTGGATGCATGGCTGTCTTTGTCATTGCTGGGACATTAAATAGTTTGTAAAATGCTGACTGCTCCCTCTGCTCAGCAGCTGAACATGACTGCACTACTGAAGCATTATTCACATCCTAATAATAAAATAAATAAAAGCTACACTTTAAATTAAAATCTTTATCAGCCTGTTCCAGAGACAGAAACCAAAACTGGTATTGGTGGAACTTTCCATTTCCTAAAGAAAGTTATGATTATATTTATTATCTGCTTCAAATTCTCGCTTCCTTGTTGGGAAAAAAAAAAGAGGAAGTGCCAGAAGGGCACAATTGTGTTCACTGTGGATTCTATCTGCCACCTTCCACAGAGTCTGTGTCGTCAGAGGGCAGAAGCAATCTCACAGCTGTGTGACATAGAGGTTACATGGCCAATCTTGGTAGTATTAGTAATTTAATACACACTTATTTTTGTATTTTCATTGAAATCAGGTATGGCCTGTTCTGGTAACAGCTCAGTAATGCAAAATTCTAATGTCTGTCCATCTGGAATTACATCTGAAGGAGCTATGGCTGCTCACCCCCAAGGGGATATCCTTGAAGCCAGGCAGCATCAGTAACTCAGTGGACAGAACAGTCACAGCTTGTGTGCAGAGAATTGACTAAGTGTGAGTTTTTTTTGACAAAGTACATCACTGTTTTCCTGTGGCTTTCTCCTTTACCCTGAGAAGTCCTTGGTGTGGAAAGTCTCACTTCAAAGTCTCTAAAAATTCTGAACAACCTTCCCCCACCTTTGTAAAGTTAATGAGATTATTTTCTTAGCTTGTAGAGAAATCGTGGACATTGCAAAAATATTGGCTGGAAGTTGGCCTTGCCTTCACTCATCTCTAGATATCAAACAACTCTTAATTCCTAAGAATGTTGAATGTATTTGATGGATTTTACCTCATAAATGGGAGATATCTGTGGCCTAGTGCCTTTCCTCTATTGCTCCTCAGTGATGTGCCTCAGCTTTTATTCTCTGCAAAACTAAACTTTGGTTTACTTTAAATAAATAAATAGAGTCAGTCCTGTGAGTATAAATTGCTGAGCAAGAGACAACACACCCAAATCATCTTTAAGAAGAGTGATTGTCCTCTGTTGTTTTTAGAACACATTTTAAGCAGAGGTTGGGAGAAGAGCAGAAAAGCAGCACAGGCAGGAGAGACACCAATTCTTACCAAATATTGGTCAAATCATTTTGTCCTGAGGCTCATCCTCAGCAGCAGTGTGGAATTACCCAACACAGACACTGCTGCCACAGCAAAAACTCACCACAAACTTTCTACCAGTGAGTTAATCTTAAACTCTAAAATTATTTCAACACTGCAATGAGGCATAACATCATAAGTATTTATGTTAACAGCTGGGACACAGCTTGAGGCTATGATCTGGTTGTGCTTTAGGGGGAGCTGGGGTCAGTGCAGAAGTGACCCCTCCTTGTCCCAGCTGGTGGAGATGGGAGGGCTGGGGCTGGCTGGGAGGGCAGTGGTTTCCCCAGGGCTCACAGGGGGTCTGGCTCAGGTGGGGTCTTGCAGGTGAGTGGTTTTGCACAAACTCCAAAGGAGGAAAAGGCTTGTCCTGCTGAGGAGGGAAGAAATGGAAAGCAAATTGGGCCAGGTGCTTTGGATTTTCACTTGTGATCTCTGTTCTCCTGGGGTCCCTGTTGTAGCAGGCTGAAAAGGTAAAGGTGAATTCATGGCTGACTGAAGAGTGGGAGCACAGATTTTGGGTGATCATTGATCCCAGGGCCAGGAAAAATGATGGACAAAACCAGCTGTGCCATTTTCTGTCTTCACATCATGTATAGCTTTGTGTGAGAAGGTACAGAATCCAGAAATGACCTGCTGGTGTCAGACTGTATTTTTGCATTTGATTACTAATAACAATTACTGACCCCGAATCTCTGCCCCTGCTGCAGACAATGCTTTCCTTCTGCCTGGCTGAGCATGTTGCTGCTGCAGGCTCCAGCCCATGACAGGAGCTGGAGGAAGTCTGATTTGGTCTCTGAACTGGCTCAGGAAACATCTCCAGCAATTTCTGCTTTCTGCAGTTTTATGTAATCAGTCTCTACTGGGGTCAGAGTTAGACATGTGGGATCTCCAAAATCATCTGATTTCAACTGTTCATGCTCTTAAGGAGTTTGTGGGCCATCCTTAAGACTCCTAATCATAAAAGATGTTTGTCTGTAGGGATTTTTAAAATTAATATTACAGACTAATTCAGACTAATTCTTGCATCAGCAAGGTTTTCACGTAAAGTTCTAGAGTATCTGATAACCAAAATCTTGAATTAAGCAAAATCTTTCTGTTCTGTAACTACTTGGTAAATAGAATTTCAAAGGTAGTGTGGAGCAAGAACTTTGCCCTGGGCGTGCAGTGTGATACACATCCACAAAGGCAGAAGCTCCCTGGGCTTTTGCTACCTGCACTTGTGTCAGTGGATCTCAGAAGAGCCATTTCAAAATGAGCCTTAGACACAAGCAAGTGCACTTGGAAGCCATTCAGCCATCAGGAGATTGTCTGGCAGCACACTGAGCTGATGAGCTGAAAACTCTCTTTTTTGAGACACCTCTGCCTTTTCTGCCTGCAAGAAGCCACTAGATAGCAGTACAAGAGCAGAAAGTGACCTGCGTGTTTGTGGTTCTTCCCAGCACACTGGGATTTTGAATGGCCTTTTCCAATGCACTCTGCTGTTGGCTCAGCCTTGCTATGAAAACAAAGCTGATAGGATGCTGTGTTCATCCTGTGCCTTTCCTGGTTGCCTGTGACATACTGTCCAGCTCTGTCTGGACAAGCTTTATGGGAATTTATAGCTGAATAATGACCCAAGTCATCCCTGCACTGGCATCAGCTGAGCATCAGCTCACAGCCACTGCTGGGTGGTCAGTAATGGGAGAAACTATGATCATTGCAGGGAGAAAGTCTCCAGGATATTGGATACCTCAGCTTTCATTAGTTCTGTTCACAGAGCAGCTGGGGCTGGGCTATTGTATGAACTGTAGCTGGTAGAATAGAGCAAATTAAGTATTTTACTCATTGCCTTTACTGCTAACATTTTATTTGCTTTTTCTAGTGCTAGCAAGCAGAAGGGTGATATTTTCATGGACTTGACTATCATGATAAGCCCAAAATCTCATTACTAAAAGTGTAATGCCTGGTTAAAAGCCCATCATTTTATCATTTGAACTTGGAGTTGCACTCCAGTTTGCACTGTGCTACATTTATTTGCACAGAATTTTGTCTATCTGCAGTTCTTCATTCCTGACCTTACTGCCCTGAATTACTTTTGCTTTATTACTCAGCTGTTCCAGAGAAAACTTCCAGAGAACTTATTTGTCAATTGGTCAGAAAAAAATAAAACAGTCAGAAGGAGTAAAATATATTTCTTGAAGCTGATGTTGCATTTCTTTGGGAAGGATGTGGTTTTGGCAACAAAACATTTGCAACAACTTCCTCTAAGGCTGTCTTTGCAAACAGAAAATACAAAGCTGAGGAAAGAGAGGGGTCTTCAGGCAGAAGGCAGAAGCATGGCAAATGAGGGATTAAGCAAATGTAACTGAGGACAAAGTCTGAGGGGAGACTACGCCAAATGTTTAGGGGTGTAAAAGCACAGACTTTGTTCTTGCCACTCAGGACCCTGGAACTGAGCTGAGCCTTAAGAGTTCCAGGGAATGGCAAAGCAAATAGAATATTGAAATTTCTGGTGCTAGGACCATGCTGACTATCTTGGAAGAGGAAAGGTGAAAAGGAAAGCCTTTATAGGGTTTACTGCCCTCTCACTAAATACTTCCCAATGTCCTGTGTAAATCTCCCTGGTCAGCTTGGAATCATCCCCATGAGCTTGGAGTCATCTCCCTGTGTCCTGTCAGTCGCTACCAGGGAGAAGAGATCCCTGTCCATGTCCCCTCTTCAGGAAGCTGCAGAGAGCTCTGAGCTCCTCTCAGCCCCCTTTTCTCCAGTCCTGGAGTCCTCAGCTGCCCCTCACAGGATGTTCATTCCAGCCCCTGCCACCTGCTCAGTTGGCCTCATCTGAGCATGTTCACAGAATTATTGGGTTGGAAGAGACATTAAAGATCATCGAGTCCAGCCCAACCCTAACACCTCAACTAAACCCTGGCACCCAGTGCCATGTCCAGTCTCGTTTTAAACACATCCAGGGATGGTGACTCCACCACCTACCTGGGCAGACCATTCCAGAACTTTATCACTCGTTACATAGAAAACGTTTTCCTAATATCCATCCTATATTTCCCTTGAGGCTGTGTCCTCTGGTTCTGTCATTCCAGCACCTGAATGTCCTTTTTAAATTGTGTGGCCCAGAACAGCCCAGAGTGGCCCAGGTGGGGCTGCACAGCGCTGAGCATGGCAGCAGATCCCTCCTGGGGCAGTTCCTATCCGGAAGCGTAGGAGAGAAACACTTGCAGCATGTAAAATCTGGAAATGGAGAAATGAGACTTCAGTGGGAGTCACTCAGACTCTGGAAAGGATAAGGTCTGGTTTCCTCTTCTTCCACTTGCTGTGCTGGTGTCTCCGTCAGCCAGAATGTCCCATTTTGTGCTGTTTCACTGGATGGTGATACAGATCTTTATAGGTGAGTCTTCACCTGCTTTTTGTTTGCTCAGGAAACAAATGAAAACCAGCAGCACTTGTTTTGTGAAAACAAAACAGTGAAAAAGATCATAACTGTATATAGAACTTCAAAAATTTTCTTATTTATGAGCTAATACTGCTTGAACTTTGTGGTTTTTTCATTTTTAAAAATGTGTGCTGTTTCCTCTGTGTTAGTTCCCTTATTCTCTTTCTTCCCTTGCAGAGCTCCTGAAGGATGAGAATGGCTTTTTGTTACCTGCTCTTTAACTCAGCTCCGTGCTGAGAATGTGTTATTTTGAGGTTCAATAGCCAGTTAAATGCTTCTTTTCTGTTTATCTGTCATATCCTCTGCAATCTCATCTGTAAAGAAGCTTCAGTAAGGAAAAAAATAAAAAAGGATCGATAGGGCAAAGATTCCAAATATCTTCTGCAAAGTCGGAAAATTATTCCAGGAATAGATCAAGGGGGAAAAAAAAGTCTTATCAAATATCTGTCCTGACTGGAGGATGAATGTTTTTGTCCATCCAGTGACCAGTTTGTGGGAGAGAAGACAACTACAAGAGCAACTGTGGGAACTACTGCTTAGTGCCAGCTGCCCCAAGGGTCAGTTTTAGAGAGACTGTACATAAATATGAGTATAACTGTATGATCTGACTAATTATTAATACCCCTTTCTATTTTGGATGGGATATTAAACATGTGGAGTCCATTTCTCTCTCATTAATGAAGGGCCCAAGAGTGACAAACCTCACAGATTTGAGTGGGAACACCCAGGCAGAGCCTTGGGTCAAATCTGGATGCCAGCAAGGCCGGGGCCATGGAGAGGGGCAGGATTCTCCTCACAGTAAGAGCAGTGTCTCAGGACCTGCTCTTAATTAAATTAAGGTCTCTTAATTTCAAAGACATGTTAATTCCCTCCTATTTACTATTTCCTTTGGAAAAATCAGTCTCTAGAAGAGGCTGTACCTGAGAAGTTATTTAAGTTATTTAATCCTTATTGAATAAGGATTCATACTGTTGAATCCAGGCTGCTGCAGTGCAGGGAGATGCTGGCAACATCAGCTTCACAGAAATTGAAAGAGGATTTGAAACTGCAAACCTGTAACTTTCTAAGAGGAATACTAGAGGGAAACTGCACTGAAGATACTCTGATGCCTTGTGTCTTTCCTCTTCTTTCAAATTATTTACTTAGTTATTTATTTACTAAGTTAAGGACTCTGCTTATTTCAAAGAGAAGAGCAGGCAAATTTTCATTTGTTAAAGGATTGTTTAATGAGGCTGCTTTTTTTGCTGTGCAGAAATGGGCTGAAATAGCAGAAGATGAGCCCATGTCTCCTCAAGAAGCAGTGACCTGAATTCTAGCAACAGTTTTAGCTGGCTTTCCACACATCTTTGGTGGGCCATCTTGAAAATATGTGTTAACCTGCTCATGACTAACTCCTTGCTCTCACAGAAATACTTGCAAGGTCAACTGCATGTCTGGTTCTGTCTCCATAGAGAGAAGCTGTTTTCTCTGTTTTGCTGTTTCAAGGCAAATGAATCTTCCCTTTCCAGGGGCCAAAGTCACCATCTTGCAAAGCCTTATCCTGCATTCAGGAATTCCGTTTCTGGCATATCCTGCCTTCATTTCTCTGCAGAAGCTCCTGCCCTTCAGTCCATATTGCCTGTTGTTTTGTCTGCCTCTATTCTTTCAGCATTTGGAGCTGTGGAAACCTGAATGGGTTGGCTCCTCTTGCCAGTGGGATAAGCAATGACGGATCTGAAATGTCATCCCAATAACAAATCACGAGGCAGCCTGCCACAGATTAAAGCCTCACCTAGGGAATAGTCCATTAAAGAGAAAACAAAAGAGACATGGACACAGTTGGAAGCATCTGTTTGCTACCTGGGAGTTGTGCCAAAAAGGAAAGGCATTCAAACAGCTGGCAAAATAGAAATGTTTGGCAAACCAGGGCTGAAGCTGGTGATATAGCAGAGCAGCAAGTCCTCTTTGGGGTGAGCAAGCTGGCCATGAGACATCAGATCTGCAGGGCTGGAGGACAGGTCTGGTTGTTCCCCCAGGTCCCTCAGTTCCTGCTGCACAGTATGGAAATGATAACATGGGGACAAAGGAAAGGTAGGAGGACTGACACAGATCAGGTGAATGTAAACCAGGAAAGATTTGTTCCTGTCAGAACTTTCTTGTGTAATGCCTTTTGTGAAGAAATGTGTTTTAGGGCAATCTAGGAACATCATAAATAATAGGGAATAATATATTGCAAAGATTTAGACCAGATGCCAAGGTGGGCATTGACTGTAAACATCAACATAAGCTGGTCACTAAGAGTAAGAGGACAAGGAAAGTGTGTATGTGCTTTTTTAAAAATCAGTATAACACCAACAACTAAGTTTTCTCTGTAGACAGAGTTCCACAAGGTGAGTGGGATTAGTTGGCAGGGCTTGCTCAGTGCACTTTCTGAGAACAGGTTCCTACAGACAGATCCCACTGCTCTGCCAGTTTAATTAGGCCCTAATTTCACACATGAATAGGTATTTTGGACCCTGCTTTTGAGACTGTCAGTGAAAGGCAACTGTGACAGCATTTCCTTTTCAAAGGAGGTGGTGGTGGGCTGAGCAAACCAGATGTCTTTCACAACAGGGTTCTGAACAACTTTCAAACAGCCTCCTAGGAGAGGAGATGGGAGCAGAGTTCTCAAATTCCATTTGCAGAGGTCCAGTTTGCTCTTGGGCTGCCAGTGACAGACCCCAGCTTTGCTCACCACATATCTGATGTATTTTATGAGCTCCCCTCCAGCAGCTGGCCAGGACCAGAGCAAGGAGCAAAGCAAAGCCTGAGAGCTGCTGGCTGTTGCCTGTAGTGCCTCGGGGCACCAGCTGCAGGAGAAGTCTTGGGGCTCAGCAGCTGTGGCCTGCCCGCAGGCAGGAGTGTTCGCTCACACCTTGTGCTGTGTAGGCAGAGCCACCACCAGAGAGTGACAGAATTCCTCTCCTCTCCTCCCTGACAGCACACACGGCGTCTGAAGCCGTTGTCAGAGGGACAATCGGACAGCCTGTGACCCTGCCCTGCTCCTACCGGGTGACGCGGCCCAAGGACATCTCTGACATGTGCTGGGGCAGAGGCCCCTGCCCGAATTCAAAGTGCAGGGGCAAAATCCTGCACACCAGTGGCAGCCGGGTGATGTCCAGAGCATCGTGGAGGTACAGCCTGCGCGGGAGCGTTGCCGCTGGAGACGTGTCCCTGACCATCAGCGTGGCCGAGGCGGAGGACGCGGGCGTGTACTGCTGCCGCGTGGAGATCCCTGGCCTCTTCAACGACATCAAGAGGAACATACGGCTGGAGGTGGCCACAGGTGGGGATGGGCACCTTGGGGACACGGCCAGCAGCGGGGTGAAAACTGGAGTCTATGTACACTTTTTTTGGCCAAAGGTGTTTTCCCCAACTTACTCGTTTTTCCCAAATTACTCGTTTTCCCCAAATTACTAGTTTTCCCTAAATTACTCGTTTTTCCCAAATTCCTCGTTTTTCAAGGGAGATCTGCAACCAGTTTCCAATTTGAGTCACAGCCAATATGCAGTTTAGATTAAAAAAAACGCCTAAGTTTTACGCATTTTTTGCCTTTCAAATGAATATTGCATTTCTCGTTGTGTAGCTCGGCTTGACTTTTTAAAAGATGATGGAATTAAAAAGGGATTTATAATTTAAAGGACCATTGGAATAAAATTCAGTTTTTCATTTGAGTTTCACCCCAAGACTGAAGACTTTTGTTTCATTTATGTTAAAAGGAGACACATTAGGATGACCCACCCTTTAGGGTGCTTCCTTCCCCTTAAGGGTGGATCCTCAACATCCACATATTTGGAAATTTTGTCTCCGAGTCTTGAAGGGCTTCTTCCCCTTCCTATTATCTTTCTGAGCTGCAGGATAAAGCAAAGTCTTGCTCAGAAATAAAAGAGATGATACCCACCCTCCCCAAAGCAGAAAAACAATTTTTTTCTGGTTTTTACAGAGCGCAATTGGTGTTCACAGCACATTTGTTTGTCTTTTTTAAACAATACAACAGGTGAGAGGGTGAAAAACGCTGCAATTCTTGTCTGCCTCTGAGGCTGAGGGCAACAGGCCATGAAAAAAGAACCAGTTGCAAGGATTAACAAGAAGATTATAGCTGTAAAACAGAGGTGTTTTATTTATTGTATTTTTATGAGGACATTGAAAAGCAACATAACTAAGTTTTCAAACTTTGGGGTTCTACCACATAAGGTTCTGGCCCTCCCATTACTAGAAGACGGTCAAGGAAGGGTGTTTGAGACTGGTAAAAGAAAAGCAAATCTAGAAATCTGTGAATTTCTCAGACTGGTTGTGCTTTCAGCTAATTAAAATAGTAACTCTCCCACCTTCATTTTCAGTACTTTAGCAGCCAGATAATTTTTATTCAGTTCTGCGTTGGCTTCCCTCAGGGTTGGTTGTGAATGCTCTGACCTGGCTTTTCCCTTGGCTGTTTTTCCATGCAGCCCCTCTAGTGAGCACCACTGCCACCACCACCACCACTGAAGCTCCTGTTTTCTCCAAACATTTTATAGAAACAACTTCTGCTCCTCAAGCAACCTCTGATTTCCAGGCAGCACCAGAGACTACAGTCCTGCTGACAACCAGCAGCCTTCCAGCAGCAACCACGGCCCCTGAGTCTCCAGTGGTAGCTACAGGGGAGACCTCTGCTCCCTCAACAATTGCTGGGACAGAATATGATATTTTTCCTGTGACTATGGTGGAAACAACTCCTCTCCCAGATTTTCCAACTGCTTCCCAAGCAGCTGATGTGGCAACTGAAGATGACATGTTCTGCTCCACACTCTCTGGAATAACAGAGGGTAACCAGCACCAATCCTTTCATTTTTCTGTGTAGCAGAGATGATCTGTGTTAGCCTGGCTGGCATCATAGAGACTCTCCAATACTTATATTTATATCTGGGAAGTTCTCTCTGAGATGCCTATGGGTGTGTTTCAGGGGGTTTAGGCAAACACAAGTCAGATGTTGTAGATGATGCTAAACTGGAGTCAACAGCCAAGGCAGTAGAGGGTCAGGCTTCCTACAGAGGAGCTTTAACATGGAGAAATAATGTGGCAGAAAGATCATGAAGTACAGCAGAAATAAATGTGAAGCCCAGCACCTGAAGTAGAGTAAGAGAGATTCACTTAACTACTCTATTTGTTTTTTTTTTGGGGGGAAAGACAATTGAAATTGCCTCGTGAAAAGTTTAGTTTAGAGTATGTTCTGCTTGAGAAATAGTGACAATTCAAAAAATGTTTAAAACTCAGTATTTACATTCTCATTTCATATGAAGGCTGCTGCTGTTATTAGTGATCAGAGTGACCTGTTATCAAACCATTTATAGGTTGCTACTTCATCCACATTACTGACTTAATTTCTACAGATTGTTGTCTGCACAGATTTGAATGCCATCTGGAGACTCTTCTCATTAATGATCTTTATAAGCGTTACTTTTTACTTTGTTTCAGTGACTACTGAATTCCCAGGTACACTTCCAAGTGCAGAGGAAACCAGCAGCTCTGTCCTGATGGAAGAGAGGACAGTCATGGGTGAGTAGGAGAACATTACAAGGTCAGAAGTTGCTTGTTCAGAGAAATTAAAAAGTTGGCATCAACAAAACTGTTGAGTATTCTTAAAAGTGCACCAACCACGCACTGATGATTATTCATTGCAGCTGGCAGTATCCAGGGTCCACACAGAAATAGTTTGAAATCACAGCTGAGAAAAACATGTTTTATACTTCCAAAGGAAGTTGGTTCTGAATAACTCATGACTGTCAGATATTTTGAGTCTGAGAGAAGTCAAAACCCAGACTTTTCAACATGGCTGAATTATCAGATATCTGATTTGTCATCACTACGAGTTCATTGAGATTTCCATTTTAAATCTTTCCCAAGTGTTGTGCCCTCAACAGAGAACTCAGTGCTAAAACTCAAGGATGACATGTTGCATTTGGACTCTTAGTTCTAGTAAGAGCCATGAATCTCTCAGTTTTTAAACCCTCAGTATTTTGATTTTTGCAGGTCTTCTTTGAATAGACCTAAAGACTTACAACAGAGTGTTACTTGATGCCCCTGGAAAGGGCTCACAGAAGAGACTAAAATGGTCTCTTGAACATTAGTGAGGGTTTCTCACTCCAGTCTTACTTGTCACCCTTCTGGGGTGATGGATAATGCCCGTATTTTATCATTGTAAATATCAAGTTTTAAAAAGGGTCTTAGCTCCAGGATTCTTGGGGCAGCTTGAGATGTGACAGTGATCTGTAAAGAGCCACCACAACAGCAGCAACAGCAGATGTACCCTGCAGGTGTGAGTCACTCCCACCAGTGCAAAACCTTGTGTTGAACTGTCACAAGGTGTGAAAATGCTGCAGCACAATTTGCTGGTGTCTGGTGAGAGTGATAAGCCAAGTCCAGTTCTTGGTTCTGTTTCATTCACTCTGTGAAATAATGCACTAAATACACCCAGCTCAGGCTTGCTGTAAGGGAAGGGAAAGCTGATTTGTTCCTGAACATTGTATTGATGTTAGAACAGCAGGAGAGAAAGCCAGGGTTAAGAGCCCTCCATCTCCAAGAGCAATTTTTGGCAGATAGGTTGGGTTGCCTGGGGGGGATGGCTCCTCAAGCAACCTGTGATCTAATGGCTCTGATTTAATGTCTCTTCTCTCTTCACTTGCTTTCCCCCAGCTACAACCCTGCCAGCACCAGCCATACTTCAGACCCCAAAAATATCCTTGTTCTTTCAAGTATCAAACTGAGCAGCAATAGTTGGTCCCATCAGCCAGGCTGCAGATGTTGCCATAAAATTTAACTTTGACTTGTTGGACCTGCATTGTCACTGTTACATCTGCATTTCTTGTGGATTTGGGGTGGTTCTGAAGTACGGAGCTCTGAGAGAGTGGAGTGTCATAAAACAGGCATATGAGAAAATGCAATGTTCACACTTCCCCAGGATTTTTCGTTCTTTTTAGTGTTTTATTATCTGTATTTGTTTAGCTGTAGTTCTTATTAGTCATAATCTCTTTTCTACTCCTGTGCAAAAGTCTACTTACACTGGCATGAGCTGGCTATGCCCTGTCCATGTCTTTGATAAAATACAAACACATGGGATGTGGAGACACATCAACACAGCTCTCACAGGAGGCTGGTCAGAACAGAGATATTTGGGGCAAATTAGGTCATTAATGGGATAACATACTCTGAAAAGTTTTAAAAATAATTTTAAAAATAGCCATGGGATTATATATTGGAGAGACACTATTTACAAGAATATGTAGTGACAGGAGAAGGGGGAATGGCTTCAAACTGACCAAGAGTAGGTTTAGATTGACTATTAGGAAAAAAAATTCTTCCCTGTGAGGGTGGGGAGGTCCTGGCACAGGGTGCCCAGGGAAGCTGTGGCTGCCCCACACCTGGAGGTGTCCAAGGCCAGGCTGCATGGGACTTGGAGCAACCTGAGATAGTGAAGGTGTCCCTGGGTTTTCCTCTTTCATGGTGAAGGCTGAGGTTTCCCACGGCTTCCTCAGCCACCAGGAAGGAAACTGATCCTTCTCTTTTGGTTGCAAGGGGCTTTTGCCCTTCTCGTTCCCTGAGAGTTCATTACTCCTTGACTGAAGCTGTGACAGCCACTGCAGCCCTCGCTCCTTCAGGTGATTGTGCCAGTAATAATTTCAATCTCTTTCATTTTCAGAGGTTTCAGCAAACAGAGATGGCAATGCTGGGAAATATGAAGAGAGAGGAGATAAGGTAAAACTTCCTCTAAGTTCCAAGAGTGTTTGAGTAGAAATCAGGACAGCAGGACACACTAGTGATTTCCAGTGTATTCATACTACAGGGACAGCTTTTGCAAACAGTGGTTTGAACTTTTATTTAGAAGCTCAGGAACCACCTGTTCCTCTTTTCAGTGGATAGAGCCAAAGCCTGAGCATTCCATCTGACTTGGACACCTCAGAAAAATCTGATCCCCTGGCATCCCTGTGAGAGAGGGGAGGTAACACCCTCGGGGTAAAAGGCAAGTTAGGAGGGTGTTACACCTCCTTCTGTCTCTGAGAGGAGGATGGGGGTGACTGAGCTCCTCCTCCTACTTTGGGTACCTTATTGTGAAGTTCATGTTAAATGGGATTAATCTGGTTTCAGTATTCTAGAGTAAGGTTTATTAAATACTGAAAGGGTAATTAATTTTGTTTATCATGATCAACTCGATGTGTCTTCTCAGCCCTTTGTGCAGGCAAGCTCAGAACAGCATTGCAAACTGCAGCCCAGTGCTCTGGCACCAGTGCAGCCCCTCCTGTGTAAATAGCTCTGAAGGAAATGTGCTCCCAAAGCCTTTTCAGTCTCTCTCTTCTCCCTTCCAGTTTCCCAGCTCTGCCATTCTCATTGCCTGTGTCGTAGCGGGGTCCATCCTTTTCATACTGATGCTCTTGGTTTGGAAACGTGAGTATCCTGGAGTGAAATGATTCTGATGCTGGGCTGTGCACATCCTCCTGAGCCCCTGGCTGTTCTGGGAGCTCTGCCATGGTCCTGGGGGCAGTGCTGTGTTCATTTCATGGGGGTTGCTGTCCTTACTCCAGGACTGTGGCAGCATCAGGGGGCCAGGGAGGATGAGCTGGTGGGGATGGAGCAGGAGGCAGCCTGTGCAAAGAACCTGTTCCCTCACTTCTTGCAGGGCTGGCTCATCCTGTTGGCTCTCTCTTTATACTTAAGTGGCTCCATAATTTCTTGGAAATGCTACCAAAAGACACGTGTGAAACTGAAATCAGGATGGGATCCTTTCTTTCTTGCTTAGCCCACAGAAATATTGCAACTTGCTGTCATTGCTTCTGAGCTTGTTTGACAGATACATTGGAATTATAGATTTCATTTTGCCATTGTAACATTAATATTATTTTGCTTCCAGGTAAACATACAAAGAAGTTTATAGTAAAAAGGTAATCCATTTTGTAATTTCCTGTTAAAAGTTCCAGTGTAATTTTTCTTAGAGACAGGAAGGTATATTGGCCACTGATTGTAATGGGTACAGTATTGGCTTGTGGTGTTGATTACCAAAGTTGTATTAGGAGGAAACTTCAGGTAACTTCACTCCAGAAATTCAATAGTGGTTCCTGGATGCTGCTTTTGTGTAGAAATGAACAGAAACCCAGAGCAATGGAGAAATTAAGCTACTGTTACTGCAGTGTAGTGACTATAGCTTAAGGAAGTGCTTAATCTGCTTTTAATTTTGATTGATACCAGGACATGATACCTTGTGCAAATGTAATTGATAAATTCATATCTTCTGGCTTCTCTTGAAGAAAAAAATTTCTGTGGGCAAACCACAGGGGTGTGCAGTGAAGCATCACCCCTTTTCCAAAGACCAATAATTTTTCAAAGGTAGCTGGTCCCTCACTGCTTGCTCTATGTGGGAGACAGGGCTTGGGGAGAGACTCTTTTCTGAATCCCATGCTGGTTACCCTACAGCTGCCATTACAGGGTTCAAACAGCCCTGCCCTATCCATGAGAAGAATGCAAGCAGGTAAATACCTCCCTGCTGTAAAAATTAGGAGTTACTTCATTGCAGTCATTGGGCTCAGCAGTTTCAAGTTTCCATTTCCATGGGAATTTGCTGATGTTACAAACCAAAAAGAATGCTCTGAAACAGCAATGTCCTTTTGTCCCCTCCTTAGTGATCTGTGCTTCTCACTGCAGTGTTGGACCACCAGAAGAGACTGACAAAGTTTTCAGTGGCGCTGAAGGAGAAAACAACATTTTTTCCCTGTGAAGAGCTCCTACATCATCTGCACATGGGAAATAAACAGGGCCTGTTCCATGCTGCACTGAGAGATACTTGTGAGCCCTCAAAATATCAGTGGGTATAAAACAAAGGCCAAAGCTTCAACTATGAAAATTTAAAATCTTTGTGCAAATTTTCCCATATGACCCTTAAAACTCACTGCATAAAGAAGCTTATTTGAGAAGGGGCTTTATGCATTATTCCTGGATGCTTCTGGCATCTGCCTTCTTACTAGCATCATGTTGCACAATTGAATTTGCTTTTCTCCATTTTTACTAATGCTCTTCCTTGAATACAACTTGTACTCTGAGGAACAGAAGAGATCACATGGAAGGCTGCCTATCTTCAAATTGCCATAAAGAAAGAAAAGGAATCATAAAGTACAATTTTAATGCTTTTATGTAATCAATAGGAAAATTAAGCAACAAGAATGCTGTGAGTTTAAATCAAAAATGCAGATTACTTAAGGGGTATCACTACTGCCTGTGATTCAGCATGTTTGAATAACCCTTGGAGAATATGTTAATAAACTCTGTAATTTGTTGCTGGCAATTGGACTTTTTATGCCACATCCTAAGGCATTTCAACAAGAGTTAGGTATTTCCCAGGTGTGGAAATGACTGGTGTGCTGTCTCAGCTCTCCAAAGAAATACTGCAGCATTTGCAGGGGTGGGAGAATGTCCAGAAGACCAACCCAGAGGGAAATTTCTCTACCTTGTCCCCACAAATCCCCATACCACTCATTTCTAAATCTGTTAAGGAAGAGGGATTGTCCATGGAGGCTGGGGGATCATCGATGGGATACACTGCAGAGCTTTTGTGTAATTCCCTGGGGTCCTCACCCATTCTGCTGCTTTGGGAGTGACATTGGGAGAAGATCCCAATCCATGACAGTGCCTGGAGCTCACCAGTGCCAGCCATGGCATCTCTGGGCAGTGACAGCCTGAAGTGAGATCACATTGTGGGAGCAGCCCTGGATCAGAAGCCAGCAGGGTCTGGCAGCTCTGGGTTTCCCCTCTGGCTGTGCTGAGACTCTTGAGGCTCTCCCAGTGAGCTGGGCAGGCAGGGGAGGTTCCTCTTTGGGGTCCCTCTGGGTCTCGAGAGTTCAGAGCCCTGTCCTCACCCCGCTCTTGTGGTGACACAGGAGAGTCCCCAGACAGAAGTGGCCTGTGGGCTCCCAGGCTGGCTGTGCTCAGCCCAGAGCCTGTCTGTCCCACACCAGTGACTGTGGCTGTCACCACCCCACCACAGAGCACAGGTGCCTGGCATCTCTCACTTCTAGACATGAGTCCCACACAAACCTGTGAGGGAAACAAGCAAAAAAGAAAATCCCAAACAGTTTTGATGTACTCCTTTGAAAAACACAAACTTTTCTTTTTGCCTTTTTTCCCCCCACCCAATTAAACCTGCTAATTAAGTCAACAATATCTCCATTGCAGCTTCCAATTGGCAGAGTTGGGCCAATCCTTTTGCTCTTCCTAATTAGCTCTTCACTAATGACTTCATTATAGCAGAGCTAGCTCTCACTTGGGAAGGTTCTAGCACATTTGTTGTGGTGCTGGCTGGACTTAAAAGCCCTGATTTTGGGGAGTTGCAAAAGGGGAGAAGAGATGGGAGCCAAAAAAGTGACTTTGATCTGATCAGCCGTGTGGAAATGCAGCCCTGAGAAGCTGCAGGGAAGCTGTAAGTGTAACTTATGCCACTGAGCATTCTTATTTATCTTTGTATTCAGCCCAATTATTGAGGCAGAGCCTTGGGTTTAGAATGGCTATTGGAGGCAAGGATTTGGGGAGGGTTACATTTAAATGAAAATTCATTGAAGTTATTTGTGAGGACTGGGGCTGTCAGTGTGTTCAGGGGGAGGTTAAAATGAGCCTTTTAAATGTAGCTGGAGGAAATGCTGCTTTCCAAAAGCATCAGAAGCCCCAGAATGCAGTCTCTGGATCTAGTGGAGAAAAGCTGGATGAAAGTAGCAAGTCTTTAGAAAGAAAAGGCTGTGGGAGAGGATGTCATTGGCATCTGGAAATGTTGGCCTTTATTTTTAGGACTTTTATCTTGGAAGATAAAAAGAATACACTTAAGATAAAGCACTGTAGCAAACACTCCTCTGGTAACAGATTAAAGAAATACAGAGGGCAGAGGAGCAAAGCCATTTGCTTTAAAACCACCCTGCATTTCCCCAAAACTCCTTTCCCTCCTTCCTGCCTCCCACCACCCCTCAAACTGCCAAGCACCACGAGCTGAAATTACCCCAGTCTGAGCTCCCCCCAGCATTTGGAGCTGCTGGAGTTATCTCAGCATTTATGGACTTGCACAGGGAGCCTGTGGCAGAGCAAAGCATGTTTTAATTTGTTTAGAGCCCATGTCAAGCCTAAATGTTGTTATATCTGGAGAGTCTGGCTGAGCTCTGTGGAGCAAGGCTGTTAATTAATGAAGGATTTCATTTCTGGTTCAAGCAATAATTTTTACTGGTCCCCAGTACTTTGTGGACAATTGTCTGTATCAAAATGACTGATTAAAAGGGTAAAGGAGGTCTGAGGTGAGGAGATAATGACTGAACTGCCAGATTAGTATGAAGGAGGTACAGAAAAGCAATTAAAAAGAGAGATTTGAATATTTTGGGATATGGGATTGACTAATGAGGAAACAGGAGGAAATACCGAAAAAAAAAAAAGGCAAGTGCTGAGTTATGAATACAAATCCTTTAGAGAGAAACCAGAGGAATGAATTAAATATCATTTTGAGATTAATAAGAGACCTCTCTTAATAGACTTTATTGGAGCTGACTGTTCTCATGGTCCCTTTCCATCTCAGCAGCACATTTCATTATGTTTCCAGGTTTGTTTCTTAGCCTTAATGTGCTTTTCCAGGCATTTTTTAAGGTTAATATAAATAAATCTCTTGGTTTCAAAGGTGAAATATAATTGGGGCTTAAGAAAGAGCAAGCAGAAGGGAAGAATGTGCCTGAGTACATAGGAAATTAGAAATAAGAATAAATAGCATCATGGGACTTGGGGAAAGAACGGAGATAACCACACAGTGTGAGATGAATGCATGAAAAAGTGGAAAATTTTAGCCTGGAAATGGGACGTGCTGCCACAGACATGACAGCAGATGGCAAAATTGAGCTGCAAAGGCTGAGGAGAGAAACATCTGAAGGATGTTTCTCTGAGGAGAGATGAGAAGAGGCTGTAAAGGTGATGCAGATTTGCTGATGGCCAGCAGAATCAGTGCAGCCTCCTCCAGTGGTGATGGAGGTCCCAGCCAGGAGCTCATGGCTCCAGGGAATGCTTTCAGCACACTTGGCCTGGGCTCTGGCTCCTGTGGCCTCCAGCAGCACAATTTCCTGCAGTCCCAGTAACCCTCTGGTTTTGTTGTGCTCCTGAGCCCATGGTGACCACGCAATTCTTGGTTTCCCCTTCCCGCTGCCGTAACCCAGCTGGGAGCAGTGTGGTTTTGGTTTCCCTTGCTAATTTAAAGCACAAACCCCAAGACTCAGCAGCTCCTGCAATCACACTGTAGAAGCAGTGGCCTGGGAAAGGAAATGTCAGACCTAAACAATCCCACAGCTTGCCTCAGCCTCCACTCCCTCCTGCCATCCAGCAGGACGGGGTCTTGGCAAGGAGCCCCCCAAGGAATCACTTTGGAGAGTGAGAGGGGCAGAGATTGGAGTGGGGCTGCCCACAGAGAAGCCTCATTCCTCACCCTGTAGTGTCAGACCCCAGCCTGGCTCAGGGGCTCTGTGAGGTGGAAAAGTCTCTCCTCCAACCCAAGCTTCCAAAGAAAGGCCCACCAGTCTCTTGTAGTTTGGTCTCAAGGCAGTTTATTGCAAGCTATCTAAAAGATTGTCTTCTGGGGCTGCTGTGGTTTGCTCACAGCTCAGGCAGAGGCACACACACACCCCGACATCCTCTCTGACTTCTTCTCTCCCCGCCCACGGCTGCTGCTATCTTTTATATGGTACATTACATGATAAATGTTTACAGTTTTTCCCCAATGCCTATTGCCTATATTAAATGGTGTTCTTCTATTCTAAACCAATCCATGAGTGCCAACATAATCAAGAACATGGAGGCAAGGAAGAAGAAAAAGGAGGAACAGGACCGGCTTACATTCCTCCATCTTAAAACCTCTGACCCCCATGTACAAAGTAAAACCCCCCCCGTACAGGTGTTAAAACCCCCTTGTACAATACTAAAAGGTTCTTCCCTCTACTTTGTGACTACTTCTACTATAAGATCTAAACTTTTGTGACTGCTTGTTCTACCTGCAAAGTTGGTAACTCATTCCATGGCTCAAACTCAAAATCTCAGCTGTTTCCAGCTGCCTGCCAGGGTCTCAAATGCTTCTGACCTGGACCTGGAAAACCCAAAAATGTCTGAGGGACATTCTGAGTTCCAACATTGTAGTGCAGAGTCACAGAATCAAATGAGGTTGGAAAAGACCTCCGAGATCATTGAGTCCAACCCATGACTGGTCCCCACCTTGTCACCCAGACCAGAGCACTGAGGGACAGCTCCTTTAACACCTCCAGGGATGAGGACTCCACCACCTCCCTGGGCAGCCCTTCCAATGCCCAATAGTGCTTTCAGTGGAGAAATTCTTCCTGATTTCTAACCTGAACTTTCCCTGATGCAGCTGGATATCATTTCTTGTCCTGTGGCTGGTGTTCTGGGAGCAGAGCCTGATCCCCACCTGGCCACAACCTCCTTCCAGGGAGCTGCTGAGAGCAAAAAGGTCCCTCCTGAGTCTGCTTTTCTCCAGGATAAAAGCTTCAGCTCCCTCAGCCTCTCCTCACAGGACTTCTTTTCTAACCTCAGCTAAGGAGCTCCAAGTAGTTTGAAACTGAGACAAGGAAGGATCATGAGGACACTGGGAAGAGAGAGGCAAATTGAACTGTGCAAATACCAACGAAAGGATTGGGACAGGAGGTGTTAGGAAATTATTTCTGGTAAAAGTTCGTTGCCTTTTTTAGTCTTTCAAGCACTGACCCTTCTCCAAGAGGAAGGGAAATCTACCACTTCCCAAAATATCTTTGTTTTTAAATTAGAAGAAAAAAAGCTCAATATTATCTGACAAAATGCAACTTCTTTTTTTAAGTATCTAGAAAAAAAAGGCAAATTAAGTGAGGGTGTGTTTTGGGTGGTTTTTTTTGGGGGGTTGGTATTTTTTAATACCTAGGAGAAGAGGTATATGGTAGGTAATCCAAAATAGGGAATAAATCCTTTCTATAATTTTATTTTCTAAAACAGAGTATAGTAAGGCCTGACTCTCTTATATCATATACGTATTCTGTAGTTCTACTGATGTAAGTGAACACTGAATCCTGGAAGGTAACCCTTTTTCATGCTTAAATGCACATCTAATGAAGATTCATGGCTTCAAAGGTGTTCTCAAACACCAGAGCTGGTGTCATCCTTAACTAAGCCATTCAGTAGTTAATAAACATCACACAATCATCTGCATATTTAATGCAGGGCAGAGAAATTTATGGAGAAATCTCTAGCTTTTAATCCAGGGATGAATCATTGATGGGATTTTGGGTTATTCAC